TGAAAGAGAGAAATGCGAACGTAACACGTTGGGTCAGCGGCTTAAGTGAAGTTCGATGGCAAATAAGCATGTACACATAACCAAAAAATTAAATTGTCCAGCAAGAACCACGAGGAGGTAAGAGCATTCTAGCCAGGGGAAATGGGGAAAGGAAAAGGAGGTGGATAAGGGTTAGTTGGTATGAAAAAATAATAACAAGAAAGTCGAAAAAATAAAATAACTCGTGAACAATAATTATTTATATTCTGTTGAAAACGTAACGTAAACTCAAAAAAATCAACATAACCGACAACCACTCACCTAACGCGAAAAGCACAACAATGACTAATCTGTCTACGCCGTTCCTGTAACAAGACACCCCACTCCTTCGTAGTCGGCTGGCCGATTATTATAATGTTTCCCGCGATGGATGCATAAATATTATTTATAACCGCTACATGCGTCTTTGAAAATAAATGATATTCTGGAAGTTATACATTTATTACATTTTCGTCACCAGAGCTTTTTTACGTTGTTTCAATACCTACTCAGCTCTTGGACTGCTGACATTTTTCTTGCCATATTACCTACATAGGCAGAGGCACAGTAGGTTACATTACAATATTCAAATTGAATTATAACTTATTGACGCTCAGAAGTACTGAAGGAAAATTCTGATACCAATATTAGATGGATATGTTGAATTATGAATTACTAAAAAATTGCAAATTCAAAAATCACCAGTCATCTTTACTGTAACTACTGCAAGCGTGAACAAAAACATGGAAATTATTTTTTTTTTTTCAGTTTGTACATTTCAAATTTCAACATCAACTATCATGCCAATCCGTATATTAAAAATTAGGTCGGAATGGTCGGATACGGTCCACAGCGAGCGCACTGCAAACTACTGATTACGTACGTACGGACGGCCAACAGAGCTTGGCCGCACCCAAGGTATGACGCGTATACGCGAGAATTCAAACTTGAAGCGGGGAATCTGTAGGCGATGCGTCGAGACAAGAAACCACCGATCGGCCGGCCGTCTGCATCAGTGTAATGAGCTACGCGAGCATTTTGACGATAGGATTACCAGATGTCGTAGGTCCTGAATTAGTTCGTGATTGTCGGTGTATATGCGGATGGCATACTCCTCGGCATACTCAAAGGTTCCAGTGAATGAAATTCAAATAATAGTGGCATAACAGTAGGATAATGAACGATGAATTATGAAAACAGTTTCGGAAAATAATATTATTCATCAAATAGATCAGTAATTTTCCCCAAATTATTTGGTACGGCCCGGCCGACCCTGACGAGCCGTCACTGGATGTTCCATATCTTGCAAAGATTATGCTGGAGTAGTAAACTACAAAACTAGAGGATTGTTCATCTATATATTGGTATAGTTGAATCAGGAATTCCATATGGAAATTACGTATGATACCGATGGGTTTTTGGCAGAGTAACGTAAGTCACAAACTGATGTTTTTACAGGAGACACGTTTTTGTCTATGAGACATGAAAAAACAAAACAGAAAGACAAAACTGAACAAAAGTTTATATAAAGTGTTCTCGAAAAGAATTCAGGTGAAAAAAAATCATGGAAACCTATTTCTATGTCGAATTTGTTACTTACGTTACATTTTTGGAGAGTAGTAAGTGAAACTACTACTGATGTTATGACGTGTTGTGTTGTGTTTATTAATTATATGTTTTCATTATTAACTATCGATTAGGGAATGATAATTTCAAATACTTACCAGAATTATCAATTCACAAACAAATAAAACTTGTTCACAGATAACAAACTCTACTGCCAGATTCACCGTCAAACCCTGACGTAAGTGACGTATATTTTGTTCTGCTTACATCAGTATGACGGGAAATGCAATCCACTTACGCTGATATTACGGGACAAGGAATATACTTACGTTGCTTTATTTTGTTACTGGTATGGATTTATGTACTTACGTTTCAATATTGGAGGAAATTTCTATGATTAAATGATTTAAGTCCGTATGACACGAACCAGTTTTTCATCCATTTTCTGAATGAGAATTAGTATTCAGAATTTACTGCAGCATGTATTACAGAAACAGAGAGTCTGAATGCAAAATTGGATGAAAAATAGAACATGTCCTATTTTTCATTCATTTATGTTGAAGCGCATGCGCATAACGCCGTTATTTAACCTTCGAATTGTTTGTTTTGTTTTGAAGTGAGAAACAATTTCCTGGGGTTATGGTAATGTCACTTTGTAGGTACTTCGTAAAAGTATAATTGATGTAATATAGGTAAACTACAAATAATGTATGTCCACTGATTAATTTCTCAAATTAAGATAACATATCAGTTCTATAATGGTTTGGTCTTCGGAGCATATGTTGGTGCTTTGATTGAAGAATACCAAAAATATCCCGTTTGTCTGCAATCTCGTTTGCAATCAAACACCCAGAAACGCTCTAGTAGACGCTTTGACATGCTTTGAAAAAGATGAAATGTGTATTGAGTACCTATACCTCATTCCTGGTGAAATACATTCTCGCCTATTTGTATCTTTTTTAGTTTATTTTGTCTAGAACAAAAGTGAAATGATCATTATTCATTCTTATGAAATTTGTAGATAAAGGGTTTCCAAAATGGTGTTCATTTTGTACCATATTCAGAACTCCTAGCCCACAGGTGTCTCTTCTTTGGAGAGATTCACGAGACTTTTTTTAATATTTTTCTATCCCGATTCTTTAAAACAAATACGCTGAGGATAGCACCAACTTTTACAGAACTGCAGACAGATATTCTTCAACATAAACTATTATTCTTTTACCATTCTTCAATTTTGAATAATCTTCTTCCAAAAATATATTTTGAGGTTACTATACACGCACAAGCGGCATGTGCATCTGCATATTATAATATTTCCATGATTATTTAATAACATGCGCATGCCCCTTGTCACAATATCTTATCTGTGATCTTATGTCGTGTCATACAGAAGAGAATTGTCCCACAGAAAATGATTCAGATTATTCTGAATGTTTTATTGTTTTCAATAATGATCCATTTTATGAGTGAAAAACTGGCCCGTGTCATATGGACTTTATTTGAGTCACAACACTCTGCCGGGACATGTATTCTCAATCGGTACTTGATATACTATGACTATCTCGTTTTTCCTAAAAATGCGACTTACGTTACTCTGCCAAAAACCCATCGATACGCCAGTGACCTCAATATAACCTAAAAAACAACGAATGTCAAAAATCTAGTGTTTATCCTCAGAATTGAATAATGATGGAACTATATAACTGTTTCACAAACACTTTAGAGTGAGAGGAGACGAGGATCTGTCCGTACCCTGTTAAGATGACTTTAACGTCAATTTCCATCAAGGGACCCTAACAGTACTGACCAGTTGAATTCGGAATATAGCCAATGTAGTTTGTCTTCTTCTTTTTTTCTATTTCTGGGAACTTAGGCATTACACTGTTGCGCGTGCCACAAAATAATAATTTGGGATTTAATAAAATCTCGGATTATTATTAGGAATACTAGGATATTTTTATTGGTACTGAAGCATCTTGCAAGTAAGTATATAAGTATTCAATAAGTGATTATTAGGGACCATGTCGAACTTTTGTCTTTGTCATTGGTCATATTGAGTCTCATAAGGTAACTGCTAGCTACAAATCTGGCAGGGTCGAAATATGTGGTCCTACTTTTCATGCGAAAGCCAGAATTCGGTTAATGACGTCATCGAATCTGGCTTTTTTCGAAGTCGCCGAATTTAATTATTGAAAAAAATATTTGCGATGATTTTGAATAAGGTATGATTGCATAAAATACTGAATATATTATTATTCAACAAAAAATAAACAAAATATAAATTCAAATCTCTGAACTAAAAATGAATCTTCGAAACAAACTAATGAGAAAAAGTATCTTGGGATTTGGTTTGAGGATAATTTAAAGTGGGATAAGCATAATTATAAATGTTTTGACGAAAGAATAATCTCCTATTATTGGAGGGAGCCCTGAGAAGATGTCTCAAGCTGGATAAAAAAGTTGCAAATATAATTCTATATTCTCATATACTCAGTGGTATCAACTATTTGATAAATGTTTGGGAATACTGTTCAAAAAACAATAAAAAAACATTGAAAGTACTGCATCGTTTACCATATTGATACACCAACAAATCAATTATATAAAATAACTGAATCATTCTCATTAGAAGAAAGGTTCAAAATTGAAAGACTGAAAATTACATACAATATCATAAATAAAAGATTGAAATTCAATTTCATTTCAACACGAAACAATGAAATTCATAATTACCAAACTAGACAACATGACGTCATGATATTGTCGATATCACATTGTGATATCGACAATTATTCTTCTATAGGCCAAAAAAGATTCACCCACGCTGCTCTTTTCGAATACAACAAATTACCAGATAATATAAAAAATTGCAGAAGTACAATAAAATTCAAATACCAACTTGAAAAATTTATCATTTCTGAACGAAATAGATGATATATTTTTTTTCAACTTTTGATTCATATTCAAATTGATTGTTGTTCACCAATATGAAAGGATTTGTCAAAATTTGATACTTAATGTTTTCAAATATTATATTATTTATGAGTTTATTATAATTGTATAGTTTTAGGTATTATTGTTAACTATACTTCCTTATACCAGAACTTGATTCTGACTGGAAGTCACATTTTCAATAAATAAATAAATAAAAATAAAATTCGACTAGTGTGTACCCGGTGAACAACTAAGAACGGCTGTCATATCAATCATTCTTCCAACTTTGTTAGTTAATATCTTCCGTTGGCGAAAAGCTATCATGTTGCGGTTTTCGTTGGTCTGTTGAGATTTAGTTTCTCTATTACATCGTGTAATGATATGCATACCATTATTTTTATTCTATCTCAAACTTGTATCATTATTCGGCCAACAGCCGTTCTTAGTTGTTCACCCTGTACAGCCCCATTGTTTTGTTCTAGTTGAAGAAACAAAATATCCGATTGAAAGCGCAATCTCAGAAGATAAGAGAACAAGAAAGAAAAATACAAGAGCAGAACACGAAAATTCAGGAACAAGAAGCGACCTTGGCCGACATCAAAAAGCACATTGACGAGTGGGACCAGAAATACAAGGACCTCACAGCTGAGCTAGTTCGCGCTAGGGACGACATTTTGGCAGCTACGTCTCCAAAGTCCGGCCCATCAGCGCAGGTGTCGCCTGCTCCCAGGTTCTACAAGTCCAACATCAAACCCCGGATGGCTCATATTCTGCCCAAGAGCTATATGAATCTGCAGATGGATCTAGACCGAAAGAGGAAATCCAATTTGCTGCCAGAAATACCGGTGAAGAGGAATAGGTCGCCAGATAATAAAGATAAAAAGGATGCCACTTTGAACATTCCGGATCTTTTGGATTTCAGAAACGAAAAGGACAAACCTGATGAGAGTGCAGAGAATATGTCGATTCGGTTTTCACGGAGTGATATCGGCACAATCATATCTAATTCTTTGGAAAGTTTTTTGAAAAATCCACTAACTAGCATAAAAACTCGTAAGAGAAAAATGAGTGAAGATATTGATTTGAAATGAATTTGATTATAGATATCTTCACAGTTGATATTATTGGTTTATTTATTCTTTAGTTCAGTTTATTAATACAAATTCTAGGTGTTCGTTTATGACATTTCAGTTCTATGTGGAGTTATTAGTGAATAGTAAACTTATGATTCTGAATGAAGATGATATTTCAGTATGATTACTGTTTTTTTGCCATTTTAGTGTATTTTGAAAACATGCACCAAAGAAAGAACTGATGAGAAGTAATTTTTCGATCCTGAATATTTATTGATTAATTGATTGTATTTATGACACCAAGAAGCGTCACACTATCAACAGGATACGAATAAAAAAATGCACAGAATTGAAAAACGACCCATCTGTTTGAAAATACAATTTTGTCAATAATTGAACCTGGTTTTCAAGGAATCAATGATTTAGCATATGAAGATTAACTTTTCTAGGGTAGTGCTAATGATACTATTAATTTTATATCTGTTATGTAGAGAATTCGAATATATGAAATTGATTATTTCTATTGTTTTTCATTCTAATTAGGTACTAATAATTTTTAATAGTTTTCATATTGTGATTAGTCACTCCCAAAGAACGAATAATAATATATACCACTGACATTAGTGACATTTGACATTTGTCGAAATGATCAACATAGAAAATAAATTCCTTGTGTTAGGAAACAGGGATTAAAATCGTGTCAGAAACTTGGAAAGGCGAACCCGTTAACAGAAAATCTTCGCTGAAATCCTATTTTCGATTTAAATGCAGATTTCGTAAGTTATAGCATAAACAATGAATGCACGCGGTGTATGTTTGGTTGCCTTTAAATAATCGTGCATCAATAAGCAAATCGTTTATTAATATAGGGGTCATTAATGAACGATTTCATATACATTAATCTTAGTCGTTAATACGAAGTCGACGAAAATAAAATTTTATTGCAACTTTTATTGATATTATTCCTCAATAGGGGATTTCACTCCAAATTACAGCAAAACTGTTAAATACATACAGGGACTCTAGCTCCAAGTTGCCAATCTTAAAACCTCTACCATTGTAGAAGAAACATTATGGAAGTTTGATTGCTCTAATGGCTCTATTTTGATGAAATCTGATTGTAGGAGTCTTTCTTATAGAAGTTATTCAAAAGAAATATCAGTTCTGGGAATTTCACCTCAGATTGGTTGAAAATTTAAGTTGGTACATCGTCCCTAACAACATGAGTACATCCTAGGGACGTCCCTAATTTCAAACTAGGATATCCCAGAAATATCCTTTTTGGGACAAACTACATACTAGGGACATCCTCTTTCAGACAAAAAGGACATTCAAGGGATGTCCCTTCTGGTACGTCCATGGGATGTACCGAGTACGAAGGGACATCCCTTCGACAAAAGAAAAAAAAATGTAGGTCGAGTAGGGTTCCTTCAGCTCATCAGGGACGCACCTTACCCCTTTGGCTAATATGCCTTCTGAAGATTCATGTATTGAACAGATTTATAAACAGGACTAAACTACAGAAACCTGAATAAATTGAACTTTGTTAGGATTCGGGTATAAATATTATCATTCTTGGGTGTTTGAAAATGAGGGGCTTTATGCATTTACGATTTCTGTTTGCGAAAAATGGTATCATTGCTTGAGAAGTTTTGAGACTATATCCTTTATCTTCATTACAATTATTTTCCGGAAGAAATACATTTTCGAAAAAATTCGACACAATTTTTTGATGAAACTCAATGACTCTCTGATGTGAATGGATATCGTCAGATATTCCAGGGACACGAATGGGATAACCTAGGGATGTACCGGGCGGGATATCCACTGGACAACCACTGCGGGACATCCCCTGGATGTCCCAATCATATCCTTGTACCGCGGGACAAAAAAGGGACGTACCTAGGACATCCCTATGATGTTAGGGGTACATCCTACTCCATTCTGAAATATGTCATTTCGTCGTCAATGTTACTGTCACATTCTTATCGTCATTTTCAGATTAATCATTTACGTAATCATTTTTTGTCATTTGGTGAAGGTGAAGTTTGTCGGTTGCAGTAGAGGAAGTATGGATATTTCTTTCCTAAAATGATTGAATGAATAGAATGAAGTGTCTCAAGTGGATGAAGCTGTGTGGAAAAGAAAAAATCACAGTTGATACGATTACTGATGGGACCACTTTTGGCGAATTCCATTGGCAGGAACTAATGGAGTGTTTCTGCACTGAACTCTCCAACAATCATTGATTGCCACGTGATCATTTTTGATGCGGCATCTCTTTTCCACCCACGTTAAAGAGATACGACTGTATTCTTGTTGCATGGTAATCTGTCACGTGGTTTTCAATCATAATTGAAGACCGGACCGTTACATTAGGTGCAGAAATACTCCAGCAGTTCCTGCCAATGGAATTCGCTATTATACAGGGTGGCCCACGGTCGATGGTACCTTAGACGTATACGGAAAACGGTACATTGGATTATCCTGAAAATTTGGTTACTCTAATAAGCGTTTGTGATCTAACGATTCAAAATATTTTCAGCGAAGCAGCGTTGCCACTTTTACCAAAAAGTAGCATCATCTTTGTTATTTAAAATGGAACACCCTGTATTTTATTGCGTTCTTATATCCTTCTCGAAGAGCTGATTTCATCAATGCATCACGCTTGGGGTCTAGCAGGAATTATTACAGAGATATAGGGTGTTCAAAATCGAGATTTTTCAACTCAAGAATTTTTTTGTGTTGAAACTATTCATCATTGATCAAAACGGCTTACATATGTCCCTATATTAACTTTTGATTAACTATGTACCGACATTTAATTGGAAAAAATACAGGATGGTCCAAGATTCAGAATTTTGATCACCCTGTATCTGTTCCAATCAAATGTCAGTAGATAGTGAATCAAAAGTTAAGATAGGGACATGTGAGCCGTTTTGATCGATAATGAATAGTTTCGACACAAAAAATTCCTGAAATTGAAAAATCTCGATTTTGAACACCCTATATCTCTGTAATAATTCCTGCTAGACCCCAAGTGTGATACATTGATGATATCAGCTCTTCGAGAAGAATCTAAAAACGCACTGAAATACAGGGTGTTCCATTTGAAATAACAAGGATGATGCTACTTTTTGGTAAAAGTGGCAACGCTGCATCGCTGAAAATATTTTGAATCGTTAGATCACAAACGCTTATCAGAGTCACCAAATTTTCAGGATAATCCAATGTACCGTTTTCCGTATACGTCTAAGGTACCATCGACCGTGGGCCACCCTGTATAATTATGTAGTAAGCACGTTTCTGGTAAATTCACTGATGATTGCTATCTTATTCCTACTGACCCAGAACAGCAATGCATTGAAACACTTTTCAGGCTTACACTGATGCTCACCTTGGATTGAAACTGGTCCAATCTCCAGTCAACACACGGACATTCGATGGATATCCACTGGACATTCATTTCGGATATTGAGGATATCCAGAGGACATCCGTTGATATCCGGTGGACGAAGCTGGACTTCCATAAGATATCCTTCTGGGATATCCATGAGATATCGTTCAGGACTATCCATAAGATTTTGTTCACGGATATCCGCGAGATGTTTTTCAGGGACATCCACAAGATATCCAAAAGGATGTCCATAAGATATTGTTCACAGATATCTACAAGATATCTTCTATGGATATCCATAAGAAATCATTGAGGAATATCCATAAGATATCATTGAGGAATATCCAAAAGATCTATTATGTACTTCGTCCATAGAGTATATGGAATAAATTCGTTATTTCCTAAATGAAAAGCCTTTAAAAAATCTGAAACACGTCAAGTTTTAATTTGTATGTTCTTTTTAATTGGGATGTTGACTTTATATTGATGTTTCTTGGGCTAATAAAGACAATCAAATCAAACATTTTAAGACAAAATCAGTGTCGAGTTAGGTTAGGTTCCATGTGAGTGGGGCGAATACCTCCCCTCCACTGCGACCCCAGATGGGACTATTGTGGCTCACCCCTAGAGGTTACAGTTCACCGTACAATCCACATCTTTTTATAAAGTTCATGGTTGAATTGGGTGAGATTCGTCTGAAATCGATAGGTTCTAAATTGGTAAAGCCAAATGTGTCGAACCTTAGTCTTTCTAAGCTAGAGCATGAACATAATATGTGTTCAGCCGTTTCGTCTTCCACACAACAGAACCGACAGTCCGTTTGTTGGTTTAGACCCATTCTTCCCAGGTGGTATCTTAGACGACAGTGTCCCGTAAGCAGTCCAGTCAGAATTCGCAGGTTACCCCTGCTCCATTCTAGGATCTGCCTGGTTATTTTTTCCGATGGTTTAGGCAGGAACGCCTTCGAATGGGTTAATCCTGGTAATTCAGACCAGTACGTGAGTGTTTTTCCCTCCGCCCAGCCCGGGATAGTTGTTTTCGCCGCACTTGCGGTGACCCCAAAATATGGTTCTGGTCCTATGAACACAGATTCAGTTCCCTGTTTGGCGAGGATGTCGGCTTTCTCGTTACCCTCCACCCCCTGGTGTCCAGGCACCCACAGCAAAGTGACTCTGTTGTTAGCACCCAGGCATTCTAGGGATTCAATACAGCTCCATATCTTGCTGGAGCTCAGTGCTTTAAGAGCAGCCTGACTGTCTGATACAATACTGATATTTTTGTTTACTAGAGGTTTATTCGACAACTCTCTAGCACACAATTCGATTGCGAATACCTCCGCCTGAAAGATTGTAGCATATTTGCCGAGTTCAGTGTCTCTATTTCGTAAGAATTTGAAGCAAACTTGTCAAACAGTGCCGTAGTGCGAATGTTGACGCTAATGCTAACGCTGCCGGCCGCATCAAACCAGGGCATCTGAAACCACGGTGATTAAAATCCCACAATATTCGAAAATTCTGGACTGCTTCAAAAACCTTTTTTCTGCAACCGACACAAAAGTCGTCCATTTTGATACCAAAATTAGCTCTTAAATTGACGTTTCTATTACTGACACAAAAATAGG